AAGAACCAAACTTTCTTTATCAGTGCTTGCATGGGTCCTGGGTAGTCTGACCTGCCCTCTTCCTGTCCTCTCGCCCTCCCCTCTACCTGGCCTGGAAAAGCAAACACACTTCCCCCATTCGCACCCTGTACCACGCAAGCACGGCCAGAACCACTCTAACTCTGCCATAAACTATCTGTAAACAATTTACGATCCTCCAGTTAATTATGCCCCGCGGAGAGTAATCCGAATGGGCACTAACTTTCGGCCTGGCACGCTCGTCTCTGCCAGTCCCTCCCTTCCCCGGATGCCCAGTATTTCTTCCTGTCCTCCTCCGCCCGTTATCACGATGCCCTGCGCCTCTTCTTTGTCCGTTCGCGCGACAAGTCATTATGCGAATTTCAAAAACGGCACATCATTTCCTTGCATTGAAATTCACTATCCAGCAACTGAGATGTAACCCACACGGGCAACATACTTCTGCTATTCTGTTACAGTCCTCATCTGACACTGAGAATATCATTTTACCAACCAATAGGAATTAAATCCCCTACTTTCTACTGGCACTGTTCATCCATCCTCCCCCCCCATCCTCTTCCCTACGGGAAGGACGTGTTCGGCAGCGCGCTTTTTGGATTAAATGGCTTTTTAGTGTTTTGCGTAGATATATATATATATATATAATATATATATATATATTATATATATATTTCTTCACGTTTATAGGGTATTTCTTCCCGTCCTATTTATTATACCACTTATTATCTGTCCGTCTTCGTTCCCTCCAAAAAAGGACTCCTCCGCCCTTCTTAACCCCCTCCCCCCCCACCGCCACCTCACCTCCCTCCCCGACCCAACCCTAACCCCCTCCCGCGCCCTCGCCCTCCCCCCGCGTTGTTTTTCGGCTATTTAAGGAAGTTGTCCCCCGCACCGCCGCCGCCCCGGGAGCTCTCTCGCCCGGGCCCCGAGTCTATGTCGTAGGGCATTATGTGCTTAGGTTTCTTCTTCTCTCTTTCAATGCTAGATGATTATGGTAGATGCATTTTTTTTTTGGGGGGGGGGGGGTAGGGCATTCTGGGAACCAAGGAAGGACATTTCCTCTTTTCATTTTCAGTTATTTTTCTAACGTCTGCGAATACCAAGAAAATCAGCGTTGGCCTTGATTCTGCGAAACACAATCTATATCATGTCAGTGTCAGCATCAGGGGTAGCTAGGAATTTGGCATACGCGTGAAAAGTGAGAAAATAAGACAAAGTATGACGACAGTGGCAAAGAGGACATATAATTACAATGAATAACAATAAATATGATTCTGATATTACTAACCATAAAGAGAATAATAACCATAATTAGAAAACAATAAAACAAAACAAAACACCCCAAGGCATAAAAGCAAACACATAAACCCCAATTATGAAAAAAAAAAAAAAAAAAAAAAAGTGAAGAGGTTTTTCATCACATCAAAACAGAGAGGAGGAATGTCGTCCTTGTGCTAACGCCCTCCGCCGCTGCCTGTTCTCGTTCGTGCGAAGGAATGGGGGGGGGGGGGGTAGTGTGAATCACCCCAGGCCTCGGAAATTAGGCGAACGACACTTGGCCGCCGTTGTCTCTCAGGGCGAGTGTCTGTGGCGACGGCTATGTTGTTGCTGTGGTTGTTGCTAGTAATTATAATAATGATGATAAGGGTAATGATATTAACAATGAAACTAATGATGGTAATAATATCAAGAGTGAAAATAATGTTGATGCTGACGATGATGGTGATGGTGATGGTGATGATGATAATGATAGTGATAACCACAAGAATAATAACAACAATAATAATAATAATAATAATAATGATAATAGTAATAATGATAATTATAATAATAATGATCGTGATAATATTAACAAAAATAAAAGCGAAAATACTCTAGACGGTAATGTTACATTTTCTGTGACTGACTGCTTCGGCACCTCTTTTTCAAAACGAAAGGAAAGACAAAAACAAACTGCACCTTTGCATCTCCGCTGCGTAGACACAATTGGAACTGAAATCCACACTCGTCTAATCACCAAAATTCCCCTTTCTTTGCCAGTAACTTGAGACCTGAAATGTGCGTGATCGCTTGAGGAAATGTTTAGCCTGCGGTCAGGAAAGTTTTCTTGATCTTACTGCACGGACTCGGGTTGGTTGGAAAGCCAGATTATTTGCGAATCATAAACATAAATTTATTTCACGTACTGCGTCTTCTAATTCAGTTAGATTCGATACGAAAGAATTCCTTTTCGGCGAAGGTTCGTTATGGGTGTTCTCTCCGGTGAGCAGACGAATTCTTTGTTGTCTGAGTCGTGCAACTAACCAAAAGGAGAGCGGCCAGAAATAATATCTAGGTCAGGACAGTTCCGACAGGAGGACCACACCGGGCAAAAACAAATACTTGCCACTGATTATCCTTACTTCACTTCGTCTCCTTTAGCCTTGAAGCTTCAGGAATGGCGAGTGAAACAACAAACAATTTTTCATGTCTTTTCAGTTTATTCGCGAGGCGCAATATATTTGGTGTAGACGTAACAGTTTATGTTACTATTTTCTCCGCCATATTCAAATCATAGAGGCTCGCCTCGTGATTACTCATCACCTGGCATGACATGAGAAGCGCAGGGCGAACTACGCCTCGCTTCCCCTTCTAGCACGTTCTCCGTGAGTAAGTGACGCGCCCGGCATGGCATTTGCAGAATAAACACGGCCGGTCGAGTGTTGTGCGTACTTTACACTCAATTGCGTCTTGATCACAAATTCTTTCATGCATGAACTTCCTTGCGAGCAACCTATTTTGACTTCCATGACACCCTGTCTACCCTCAGTTCCTCACATCCTTATGCTGAGACCCACGCGAGGTGGTTCTCTAACGCTTCGTCAGTGCAATTGTTTGGATAGTTGTTTTATCAGCTCGTACAAAGTGGAGTTTTGCTGTGTGCTAGTTATTTCTAAATGGCCAAATCTGCATGAAATACTGAGTTTTTAGTGCAAAAGTTAGGGGTTAGTAAATTTCAGCGTCAGGTGGTGGTTGCCTGTTGGAGCCCCGCCAGGGCTGCGTCATGGGCCGTTCCTCCCCGTCGTAGTATTTACCCTCCCCACAAGCTACTCTCCTGTGCTGTCCTTCCTTCATTCGGGTCCCCGCTATTTTTCCTCTCTTGATTTACGTGCCATCGACCCAAGGTCTTCATACACCAATGCCTGACATACCCTGTACGCTACTGTTGTAAACAGACATTTCGTGTCCAAGCCTGATGACCTCTTAACTCTTCCTGACGCATTCTGACCGTCTTGATATATGACAGCATACAATTACCTCGTGGCGATAGCGGCCAGGGATCGCTGAAAAGCATTAAGAAAAAGCTAAAGACATCGGCAATCGTTGAACCACTTCTCAAGTAGATCTATGGCAATGCTTAGAGTGAAAAGACAAGCCCGGGACCTGCACCACCGCAAAAGTAAGCAAACTAGCATGCACGTGTTTAGCCAGACGCCTTGAGCTTCCTCCTCAGCAAGTGTTCCGACGTAACCTTCTCCACGTGACCAGAGGCTGCGAGGCTGCTTCTACGTGAGTGCCTCCGGCCTGGCACCGCCACGGAGCCAACAGGTGGAAGCTCGCTCTGCCAGAGTCGTCACCGCCTTGTTGCACACGTCTGCTGCCAACTTTGCATCCAGTATAACTTTTTATGGTCTATGATATTTTGCTTTGTTTCTTTGATCTGATCTGCTAGGGGAAAAAAAGAAGACAGGAAGGAAAAAAAGGGAAAGAAAGAAAAAAAAAAAAAATCAAAAGAATTGAAAATAACGGATACACCCGTTATTAGTTAGAAACGAAAAAACAATATAATATATATAATTGCTGATAATGCTATAAACCATGTAACTTGACGTAATGGTACAGCTTAACCGCTTAGAAAAATACAACAGAAAGAAACAAAGAGCAGGCACGTCTAAAGGCGGCACTAGAATTAAGGCAGAAGGGTGACCCGAGGACCACAGACGGCCAGGCATACCTGCTGTCACGACGACACTTCGTGGCCTGAGTGGGACGTTTTGGCGAACCTCAGGGACGGCCGATTGCACAGGTACACAGAGGCAGAAGGACAGCCACGGCCAGGTGAGAACAAGGAATCTGACAAGTTCGCCCGTGCGCACGCGCGCCACTGTCTGGTGGCACATGCTACATACCCAATATTGCAGGCTGTCAGTGCCAAGATATCTAGATGCAGAATCTGTCTGCCAGCGTATTAGATAAAAAAATGTTTGATGTTTATAGTTTATAAATGATGTACAATATTTTAAAATCCAAGGAGGTTGATAAATCGGATTCTGATAAACTAGTTCAATGAATTACAAGCCGATTAGGAGTATATGGGTAGATTTCACTTAACTATTGGCCAACCGTCAAATCTTTCATTTTTACAAAGTGATCAAAACAGTGTTAAGCAACAGATGTTTCTGAGATTGGCACTGCGGTACATGCAGTACCATAGATCGGTAAGACTTACATGAGCTGCAGGCAAGCTGCGCGGCGGGTTCGAAGGAAGGGGCGCGCGTCGCCGCAGCCACAAGGCAAAATAGGGTAGAGTGGGTGGCACCTCGCTAGGCTTTGGGTGGCGGGGGTGCCAGAGGGCTTTCAGGAATGGGTTGGAGAAGGGAGCACCAGGTTAGTGGAGAGCGAGGGCACATCAGACATGTTGGGGGAGGCAGGGCATCAGGGTGGCGGTGGTACCAAAATAGGTGTTGGGTAGGCAGCACGTGGCGACGGTGGCCCGTGCCAACCACCGGCCGCAGCCACCAGTGCCTCCACCACCGCGCAAGGAACAAGTGGCACTGCTCACATGTGCGGCCTTTTCGACCGAGTGACGAGTGTTCCTCCTTACCAAACGAGTTCAGAGGTGAACGCGCAGTGCCTAGCTATTTTGTGAAATGCGCAGCCACAGCGCCCTGTGAACCGGCCATCGAAAGCTTCTCATTCTTACGTGGTGTTTTGGATTACAGGTATGGGAGAGGCGAGTGTGATGTACAACGTCCCGGGGACGGTGCCCCCCATGTCACCGCCGCAGGGCGAGACCCCCTGGCCGCCTTCGCCTGCGGGGCCTCACGACTCCCTCACGCTGCTCGCTGACATCGCCCTTGTGTGCGCCGACAAGCCCTGGCTGGCAGCCTTGCGTCCCGAGGACCTTCCCGCCCGCTACACCACGCCTACGCCTGCGCCGACGCCCACACCCGTCAGAGACACAAGCACACCCGTCCTCGAACTGGACGCCCACACCACCATCATCACGGTCGCGCCTCAGGCGGAGCAGCCCCTCAACCTGAGCACCAGCCCCCCTCGAAGCCCTGCCCCCGCCGCGCCCACGCCCCCTTCCACGCCTCCTCCACCTGCCGTCCGGGACGCCCACGTGTGTCCTGAGTGTGGCAGAACTTACTCGACATCGTCCAACCTAGCCAGGCACAGGTAAGGTCAACATCTCGCCTCGCGACTCCTCCCCGACCGCCAATCTCTTCTCCCGCCGCATTCCATAGTCATATCACTTGATCTCTTCCTTCCGCTTTCTATGCGTGCTCTTTCCTTGCGGGAAGGTTCTCGGCCCTCAGTCACTAGTCTTGTGAATGGGGAAATTATTTACATTAGATTTAGTGAGGTGAACACAAGTTGGTTATAGTGATTGATCAATCCTGGAACAATTGATGAAAATAACTAAAAAGTAATCGTTTTGATTCCTACTTGGTTTTGTTAACAACCCAATATGAAATTCGTCAGTAAGAAAAAAGGTTATCTCGCTTGACTTTTTGAAGAGCCCACGTAAAAAAGTATTTAATGAAAATTCTATTCTTCATTTAATCTAAAGAAATTAAACTAAAAGAAAAGGAAAGTTATTTGGACTTGGCAACTGTGAGGTTATTCGCGTTTCCTGTTGTCACCGGTAGGTGGCAGGTGTGTCATCGGTAAACAAACATGGTCCCCCACTGAAACAGCGTGGTTTTAGTGGGACACTGTATGTGAAAATGTCACGATAGTTAAAGACCATATTCAAAGTCAAAACACAAATGCTACTTTTAACCAAAACGAAGAGAAAATCACCACGAAAGATTTGGCTCGCGACAAGTACCTGGCCTAAAATAGCTCCGAAAATATCTTCTCGGTTGTGTAATACGTGGTCAAGTATGTCACCAGCCAGATATTTACTCCTTTAGATCCGTGTCTGATTTACTCGAGATTTCACTTCTTATATATATTCTTTTGTCCTGCCACTGATTTGCCTTTCCCTTTCTAGCATCAAGCGACGGTGCGGGGTTTATAAGCGAGAAAGATATATAATAGTAATGGTGCCATCCACTCACTTTGACACCTTCTTCCCCAGGCAGACGCATCGCTCGCCGGACGACAAGCGCGCAGCTCGCAAGTGTCCGTATTGCGATAAGGTGTACGTGAGCACGCCCGCCTTCAGCCAGCACATGCGCACCCACAACCAAGGCTGCAAGTGCCCCACCTGCGGCAAGTGCTTCTCCCGCCCCTGGTTGCTGCAGGGACACATCAGGACACACACAGGTGAGGCAACGGTCACAAATTCTCGGGACCGGCTCGGTTTTCTTGTTACAGTCGATTGTCTTGGAAGCTTCTATCTATGGGGTCTGCTTTCTCGTGCTCAATGAGGTAACTTATATTGCAGGAGAGAAGCCCTTCCGGTGCAGCATGTGCGGGAAGGCTTTCGCCGACAAATCCAATCTGCGCGCGCACGTGCAGACTCACTCCAGCGTCAAGCCTTTTGCCTGCACGCGCTGTGGCAAATCCTTTGCTCTCAAGTCCTACCTGTACAAACACGAGGAATCATCCTCTTGCATGAAGCTGCACCGCGCCCTGGGACGTGGTGCAGCCCCTTCCCGCCCCGCAACACCAGCATCCACACCCACTGTCGCCACCCACACCACCGAGCTCTCGGGGACAACACCCGTTCACCCGCAGCAGGCGCCCACGGTCCAGCCCAACACGGGCGTTCGAGCGAGCACACGAGCCATGCACACAGTCACCATCCTGCGGTCCGCGTCACACGTGGCCACCGCCCGCGTGCACTGAGGCGTCGAGTCCGACCGCAAGGGCCCCTGAGCCGCTCCACTTGGCTGGAAGCTGATCAGGACGTGGCGGCCGGAGGGGGGGAGGGGAGGGTGCAATAGTGCCTTGGGTAGTGAGGCCGGACGACGGCAATACTTAATCTTTACTAGTCGCTTGTCAGGGACTAAGATTTACTTCGTACGTGGCTTTCAGCCTATGGGATTCCTTAACTCGGATTCGAGTGTCATATCATGGGAGGGAGGGAGGGAGGGAGGGAGAGGGAGGAGAGAGGGAGGGAGAGAGAGAGAGAGGGAGAGAGGGAGAGAGGGAGAGAGGGAGAGAGAGAGAGAGAGAGAGAGAGAGAGAGAGAGAGAGAGAGAGAGAGAGAGAGAGAGAGAGAGAGAGAGAGAGAGAGAGAGAGAGAGAGAGAGAGAGAGAGAGAGATTATGGGAGAGAGCCATGGGGGACCAGAATAATCAGTCTGTGCTCATTGATTTCCCTAGAGTAAGTCGAGTAGATGGTAGTTTGATACTGAAACTAAGTAATACTAAGATTATTAAGTACTGTACATAGTTCCTATCAATTAAATGAAAATAACGGAAATGCTTAGCATAACCTGTAACTTCTACTTAGAAAGTTTGATGTCTAGGAGCATATTCTAATGTAGAACTGAATCTTTGTAAGATTCGGCATGGAAATTGATAGGTTTTGTTGAGGGGGAGGGGGGTGCCATGGGGTGGGTAGACAGATAGTTGCTTAAACGTAAGTTTCGGATGGGGCATCTAGTCATTACGGTAGTGAAATATGCCGCGGATACCTCGGGCATAGTATGCACCGAGCGTTAAGCCAGGCATAGTACTGTAGATAGTAATGCAGCAGCACAATAAGTATTTCTGTTGTGTTGCAGTGTAAGCCAGAATATAGTGTAATTTGGGCATCAATTTACGTCGGGCTTCGGAACGCCTGGCGAGATTCCTTTGATGCCTGTAGTACTGATCTGTGGGACCATGGAGTATCTTGATTTTTTTACCCTTTCTATTGATTTCTAGTAAAAAATAAGTGGAAAAAACTAAAAATGTATGATAGATGGTAAGTCTGATCATGTACATGAGTCATGCTTATTCAGAATAACGGATTGAATTACGAAAGTTCAGAAAATGTGGTTCAACCATAGTGATAAAGCTGACTATGTAAATTAGACATGTTAGTACGTGATATTTGCCTGAATTTTATGTATCTGGATTAGGACATCTGACATCTCCATAAGATGTGAGAAACTGTGTTCTCTCTTTTGTAAATAGTGCATCGCTCTGTAACCTAACTCTGAAACAACTGTTGTTTCATGATGACTTTGGTACTATGCTTTAAATATCTATTTATTTATCATATTTATACTCAACTTTTTATATTTAGTTCCTTTTGTATTTAAGTGTGTTTGTGTGCAATGCGAGTATACTATTAAATATAGCTGAAAATACTGTTTATTTAATTTCTTCTCCCTTTCAACCTGTAACTGAGTTTAAAGCAAAGCCCAACTTACTCCTTCTCCCTAAGAACAAAACTCTCTGTTGACAGCTGATTTGAGAGGAGAAGCGATGGACATCCGGTTAATCTTGATGTCTTTCCCTTCCGTTAGTTCCAGTGCCAAAGACGAGGACAAGTTCCGGTTTCGTTTATCCTCGCTGATCTTCTGCAAAACCTGGATGGGAGAAAAAAATGTCATGGGGCACGACAAACTGCATTGGTTCTTGGTTTTGACAATTAGAGTGTTAAAAGACAACTTC